GACCAGCCTGGCCAACATGGTGAAACCCCCATCTCTATAAAAATACAAAAAATTAGCCAGGAGCTGGGCGCGGTGGTTTATGCCTGTAATCCCAGCACTTTGGGAGGCCAAGGCGGGTGGATCATGAGGTCAAGAGATCGAGACCGTCCTAGTCAACATGGTGAAACCCCGTCTCTACTAAAAATACAAAACATGCCGGGTGCGGTGGCTCACGCCTATATAAATCCCAGCACTTTGGGAGGCCAAGACGGGTGAATCACGAGGTCAAGAGATCAAGACCATCCTGGTCAATATGGTGAAACCCCGTCTCTATTAAAAATATAAAAATTAGGGCCGGGCCCGGTGGCTCACACCTGTAATCCCAGCATTTTGGGAGGCCGAGGCGGGTGGATCACGAGGTCAAGAGATCGAGACCATCCTGGTCAACATGGTGAAACCCCGTCTCTAATAAAACTACAAAAAATTAGCTGGGCATGGTGGCACGTGCCTGTAATCCCAGGTACTCAGGAGGCTGAGGCAGGAGAATTGCCTGAACCCAGGAGGTGGAGGTTGTGGTGAGCCGAGATCGCGCCATTGCACTCCAGCCTGGGTAACAAGGGCAAAACTCCATCTTAAAAAAAAAAAAAAAAAAAATATATATATATATATATATATATATATAAATTAGCTGGGCATGGTGGCGCACGCCTGTAGTCCCAGCTACTTGGGAGGCTGAAGCAGGAGAATTGCTTGAACCCAAGAGGCGGAGGTTGCGGTGAGCCAAGATCACGCCATTGCACTGCAGCCTGGGTAACAAGAGTGAAACTCCGTCTCAAAAAAAAAAAAAAAAAAAAAAAATTAGCCAGGCTTGGTGGCAGGTGTCTGTAATCCCAGCTACTTGGGAGGCTGAGGCAGGAGAATCACTTGAACCCAGGAGGCAGAGGTTGCAGTGAGCCGAGATCGCACCACTGCACTCTAGCCTGGGCGACAGAGCAAGACTCCGCCTCAAAATAAAAAAAAAAAAAAAGAAAAGAAAAACATAAAAAACAAAGTTACCACTGAAGCCATTTTTAGGTGTACAGTTCAGTGGCATCAAGAACGTTCACACTGTTGTGTAACCATCCCCACTATTTCCAGGATATCTTCGTCATCCCAGACAGAAACTCTGGGTGTTTTCAATCTGCTGACGATTGCTACCTAAGAACTCCAGGGGACATTTGTTGCTCACCTACTGTGCTCAGCTGGGGCCTCAGGGATTGACAGGATTCTGCCGAGGCTGACATCTGGGTCAGGACAGTCCTGCACAGTTCAGGTTGTGGCCAAGGTTGGGTTTGCAGATTTGCCATATAAAATGCAGGATGCTCAGTTACATTGGAATTTCAGATTAATAGCAAAAAAAAATTTTGGTGTAATTCCCAAATACTGCATGGGACATATATTATATATGTATATATATTCTATTGCACTTTAGGTTCTGGGGTACATGTGCAGAACACGCAGGATTGTTGCATAGGTACATACATGGCAATGTGGTTTGCTGCCTCCATCCTCGTCACCTATATCTGGCATTTCTCCCCATGTTATCCCTCCCCAACTCCCTATACCCCGCTGTCCCTCCCCTAGTCCCCCCCAACAGACCCCAGTGTGTGCTGCCTCACATGGGACATATTTATACTAAAATATCATGCATTGTTGATTTGAAATTCAAATGTAATTAGGCCTTCTCCATATATATATATATATATATATATATATATATATATATATAATTTTTTTTTTTTTAAACAGAGTCTCACTTTGTCACCCAGGCTGGAATGCAGTGGCATCATCTTGGCTCACTGCAACCTCCGTGTCCTGGGTGAAGCGATTCTCCTGCCTCAGCCTACCAAGTAGCTGGGACTACAGGCGTGCGCCACAATGCCCAACTAACTTTTCTGTTTTTAGTAGAGACGGATTTCACCATGTTGGCCAGGATGGTCTCAATCTCTTGACCTCGTGGTCCGCCCACCTTGGCCTCCCAAAGTGCTGGGATTACAGGCATGAGCCACCGTGCCCGGCTGAGCCTTCTCTGTTTTGTCTGACAAACATAGACAAAAGAATCCAGCCCATGGTCCCCTGACTGAGCCATGTGCTCTGGGGTGCAGCTGGGTCCTTCAGGAGAAAAATGCTCTTTTATTTCTGGCGCTGGAACTGTTCTGATGTGGGTGGGGGGGTTGTTGGTTATTGTTGCTGTTTTGTTTTTGAGACAGGGTCTCTCTCTGTCACCCCTCCGGAGTAGCTGAGATTACAGGTGCACACCACCACACCTGGACAATTTTTCTATTTTTAGTAGAGACAGGGTTTCACCATGTTGGTCAGGCTGGTCTTGAACTCTTGACCTCAACTGATCTGCCTGCCTCGGCCTCCCAAAGTGCTGGGATTACAGGTATGAGCCACCGTGCCCAGCCAATTTTGTATTTTTTGTAAAGATGGGGTTTCAGCCACTCCCTCCTGCCATCAGCTGACCTGGAGGGCTGGAGGTGGCGGCATATTAAAAAAAAAATTTTTTTTTTTTTTTTTTTTTTTTTTTTGAGACGGAGTTTCCCTCTTGTTACCCAGGCTGGAGTGCAATGGCGCGATCTCGGCTCACCGCAACCTCCGCCTCCTGGGTTCAGGCAATTCTCCTGCCTCAGCCTCCTGAGTAGCTGGGATTATAGGCATGTGCCACCATGCCCAGCTAATGTTTTGTATTTTTAGTAGAGATGGGGTTTCACCATGTTGACCAGAATGGTCTCGATCTCTTGACCTCGTAATCCACCTGCCTCAGCCTCCCAAAGTGCTGGGATTACAGGCTTGAACCACCGCACCCGGCCAAAAAATTTTTTTAATAAACGATAAATAATAAGAAAAAGAGACAAGGTTTCAGCTTGTTGCTTAGGCTGGTCTCAAACTCCTGGGCTCAAGCGGTCTGCCTGCCTCAGCCTCCCAAAGCGCTGGGATTACAGGTGGGAGCCATCCGCCTGGCCCTGGAGCTGATGTTGATCACCTTCTACCATGTGCACCTGCAGCTTTTCTGCAGCAGCCTCAACCCTCCTGCACGAGGATGCTGGGAGGCAGGTGCTTCCTATCAACCCGTGTTACAGTTGAAAAATACGAGCCCCAGAAGAGAGAACGTATTTGTCCAGCTCACGGGGTGAAGGAGTCGGGATTTGAAGCCCAGGTCCGTCAGAAGCCAGAGTCACCCAGAGGAGAAAGAGCTGGAATTGAGAAGTCCGGGGATGCTTGGAGGTGACTGGGCCCCAGCGCACCCCGGAGGAAACAGAGGCTGGAGATATGTGACTGTGTTGCTGTTTCCTGACATCACCCCTTGGGCCCTGCTGAGGCCCTACCACGTGCCTGGCCCTGCAGCCCAGGAGCTGGGGGAAATTAGACACAAAATAATAACGGCAATGATCTTTGAGCACCTACACTGCTAGGCTCCACGGTAAGAGCTTCCTTTGATTTTTTTTCAAGGTTTTTTTTCCTTTTAATAGACAGTCCTTGGAGTCTTGCTCTGTCGCCCAGGCTGCAGTGCAGTGACACAACCGTGGTCACTGTAGCCTTCGACTCCTGGGTTCAAGCGATTCTCCTGCCTCAGCCTCCCTTGTAGCTCGGATTACAGGCACCCACCATCATGCCCGGCTAATTTTTGTATTTTTGTAGAGACAGAGTTTCACCATGTTGGCTAGGCTGCTCTTTAACTCCTGACCTCAGGTGATCCACCCGCCTTGGCCTCCAAACTGCTTGGATTACAGGCGTTTGAGCCACCACTCCCGGCCGCCTTTGTGTGCTTTTTGAGACAGTCTTGCTCTGTTGTCCAGGCTGGAGTGCAGTGGAGAGATCTTGGCTCACTGCAACCTCCACCTCCCAGGTTCAAGTGATTCTCCTGTCCCAGCCTCCTGAGTAGCTGGGATTACAGGTGCATGTCACTAAGCCTGGCTAATTTTTTTTTTTTTTTTTTTGAGACAGAGTTTCGCTCTTGTTACCCAGGCTGGAGTGTAATGGCGCAATCTTGGCTCACCGCAACCTCCGCCTCCTGGGTTCAGGCAATTCTCCTGCCTCAGCCTCCTGAGTGGCTGGGATTACAGGCATGTACCACCATGCCCAGCTAATTTTTGTATTTTTAGTAGAGACGGGGTTTCACCATGTTGACCAGGATGGTCTCGATCTCTTGACCTCGTGATCCACCCGCCTCGGCCTCCCAAAGTGCTGGGATTACAGGCTTGAGCCACCACGCCCGGCCAGCCTGGCTAATTTTTATATTTTTGGTAGAGAGGAGGTTTCACCGTGTTGGCCAGGTTGGTCTCAAACTCCTGGCTTCATATGATCCGCCCTCCTCAGCCTCCCAAAGTGCTGGGATTACAGGTGTGAGCTGTGGCGCCTGGCCTTTCTATTTATGCTACTCAGTTAATGTCCTGAAATATGGACTGCGCCTCCCAGTTTATGAAGGAGGAAACTGAGTCCAGCCAATAAGGCTGTCATGGAGGTGAATTTGAACTTGCCTCAGCGCAGGAGGCTCAAGAGTCATCTGTCGGCCGGGCGCGGTGGCTCAAGCCTGTAATCCCAGCACTTTGGGAGGCCGAGGCGGGTGGATCACGAGGTCAAGAGATCGAGACCATCCTGGTCAACATGGTGAAACTCCGTCTCTACTAAAAATACAAAAAATTAGCTGGGCATGGTGGCACGTGCCTGTAATCCCAGCTACTCAGGAGGCTGAGGCAGGAGAATTGCCTGAACCCGGGAGGCGGAGGTTGCGGTGAGCCGAGATTGCGCCATTGCACTCCAGCCTGGGTAACAAGAGCGAAACTCCGCCTCAAAAAAAAAAAAAAAAAAAAGAGTCATCTGTCTTCTCTCAGCATGATGTGGTGTGGACAGAAGGGAGGCCCACAGAAGCATGACCTCTGATTGCCGCTGTCACCTGGGCCCCGCTCTCTAAAGTCCCTGCCAAGGGGCGTGGGGAGATGGCCGGGGGAGGGCCCTGCTCCAGGCATGCTTTCCTCCCCCCGCCCACAGAGCTGAGCAGAGGGACAGAGGGACGGAACCCCTAGAAATGTCCCTCCTCAGACACAGTCTCCAGGCCCTGCCCTTGCTGTGCCTCTGCGTGTTGGTCCTGGCCTGCATTGGGGGTGAGAAGAAGAGGGTGGAGGGATGTGGGGCCCACATCCTGGTGGGTATGAGTGTGGCTGTGTGTCCTGTGGCTTCGTAGCTACATGAGACATGAGTGCCCAGCATGTATGTTTCATGGCATGCGTATGCATATGTATGTCGGGGAGTGTGTCAGTGGCTGAGCATGAAATGTGAATGCAGCATTGGTACACACGGATCACCTGTGTGCATGCAAGTGGGAGTATGCAGCCATGGCAAAAGTGCATGTCTGGCCGGCAAAGTGGCTCACACCTGTAATCCCAGCACTTTGGGAGGCCGAGGCGGGTGGATCACAAGGTCAGGAGTTTGAGACCAGCCTAGCCAACCTGGTGAAACCCTATCTCTACTAAAAATACAAAACTTAGCCAGGCATGGTGGCAGGCAACTGTAATTGCAGCTACTGGGGAAGCTGAGGCAGGAGAATTGTCTGAACCTGGGAGGTGGAGGTTGCAGTGAGCTGAGACCCAGCCACGGCACTCCAGCCTGGGCAACAGAGAAGGACTCCATCTCAAAAAAAATGTGCATGTCTGTGATTGTGCGTGCATGTGTTTGTGTGAACTTCTCTGTGGGGTATGTGTGTGCAAAATATTGAGTGTGTGGATGCATTTGAGGGGTCTGTGAGTGTGTGCTGGTGTGTATGTCTGTGTTTTGCATATGCATTTTTTTTGGGGGACTGAGTTTTACTCTTGTTGCCCAGGCTGGAGTACAATGGCACAATCTCGGTTCATTGCAGCCTTCACCTCCCAGGTTCAAGCAATTCTCCTTCCTCAGCCTCCCAAGTAGCTGGGATCACAGACATGTGCCACCACGCCGGGCTAATTTTGTATTTTTAGTAGAGACTGGGTTTCTCTACAGTTGGTTAGACTGGTCTTGAACTCCCAGCCTCAGGTGATCCACCTGCCTTGGCCTCCCAAAGTGTGTGAGCCACTGCACTGGCTTGTTTTTTGTTTGTTTGTTTGTTTTTGAGATGGAGTTTCGCTCTTGTTACCCAGGCTGGAGTGCAATGGCGTGATCTCGGCTCACCGCAACCTCCGCCTCCTGGGTTCAGGCAGTTCTCCTGCCTCAGCCTCCTGAGTAGCTGGGATTACAGGCACACACCACCATGCCCAGCTAATGTTTTGTATTTTTAGTAGAGACGGGGTTTCACCATGTTGACCAGGATGGTCTTGATCTCTTGACCTCGTGATCCACCCGCCTTGGCCTCCCAAAGTGCTGGGATTACAGGCTTGAGCCACCGTGCCCGGCCCTTTTTTTTTTTTTTTTTTTTTTTTTTTTTTTTTTTTTGAGATAGAGTCTCAGTCTGTTTCCCTGGCTGGAGGGCAGTGGCACGATCTCGGCTCACTGCACCATTGACCTCCTGGGTTCAAGCAATTCTCCTGCCCCAGCCTTCAGAGTACCTAGGACTACAGGCGCACGCAACCACACCTGCTCATTTTTTTTTTTTGAGATGGAGTTTCGCTCTTGTTACCCAGGCTGGAGTGCAATGGCGCAATCTCGGCTCACCGCAACCTCCGCCTCCTGGGTTCAGGCAATTCTCCTGCCTCAGCCTCCTGAGTAGCTGGGATTACAGGCACGCCCAGCTAATTTTTTGTATTTTTAGTAAAGATGGGGTTTCACCATGTTGAACAGGATGGTCTCGATCTCTTGACCTCGTGATCCACCCGCCTTGGCCTCCCAAAGTGCTGGGATTATAGGCTTGAGCCACCGCGCCCGGCTCACCTGCTAATTTTTTATATTTTTGGTAGAGATGGGGTTTTGCCATGTTGCCCAGGCTGGTCTTGAACTCCAGACCTCAGGTGATCCGCTCGCCTTGGCCTCCCAAAGTACAGTACTGGTGTTACAGGCGTGAGCCACCACAACCGGCTGGCATTTAAATTTTTAACACGTATATAGCGTCTACGATGTACAAGGCACCATTCTGTGTGCATCGTATGTATTAACTCTCAAATCTCACAATAACCTTGAGGTAGGTACTATTATCCCATTCTACAGAAGGGGAAACTGAGTCATGGAGAGAGAGGTTAAGTCACTGGCTGAGGCACACAGCCGGTCACAGGTGACCTCCGTGTGACGGCTGGTCCCTGTAGGCCAGGCTTTGTCCAGATGCATGGGTAGAAGGTCTGGCCTGAAAAGAGGAACTGACAGCAAGGCTAAGCCCTGGGGAAGAAAGTCACCGCCTGCTCTCCCTCCACTGTCCATAGAGGTAGCTTAGACAGGGTGGGGGTCACAGTAGAACTAAGGGGGAAGGAGGTGTTCCTGGGCACCAAGATCAGGTGGTGAAGGGAGGCATCAGAGGATGGCAGTTAGAGTGGGGATTAGAGGGAAAGCACAGGCAGACGGTGACAAGAGGGGCTGCTGACACACGGCAAAGAGATGTCCCTGCTGGGCATGGTGACTCATGCCTGTAATCCCAGCACGTTGGGAGGCCAAGGTGGGCAGATCACTTGAGATCAGGAGTTCAAGACCAGCTTGGCTAACATAGTGAAACCCCATCGCTACTAAAAATACCAAAATTAGCCGGGCATGATGGCAGGTACCGGTAATTTCAGCTACTCAGGAGGCTGAGGCAGGAAAATTGCTTGAATCCGGGAGGTGGAGGTTGCAGTGAGCCGAGATCAAGCCCCTGCCCTTGACCCTGGACAAGGGAGCCAGAGACTCCGTCTCAAAAAAAAAAAAAAAAAAAAAAAAAAAGAGAGATGGCTGATGGTTAAAGAAGAATAGGAAGTTAGGAGGTCGGGGGACATATAAGGGTAAAGGCAGGAGGCGAGAGGACTGGCCGGGGGCTGCCCCTGTGCCACCAGGAGTGACAGATGAGCATGGAGGGAAAGGGAAGAGGGGGGATTCTAGGGTCCTAGCCCACCCCAGTTGTCTCCTGGTTCCAACCTAGCATGCCAGTCAGAAGCCTATGAAGGCACCCCAAGCCCTCCACCAGAGCAAAAGAAAAGTCACTGGAACCTGGTGCAGAGCAGGATGAAGGAGTTCCTGGAGCCAGCGGTGACCAGGACCAGAGACAGGTGGCAGTGGCTCTGGTGAGTGTGTGCTGGGCTGGACTGCAGGAGGGGACTACTGGGTCTGAGGGAGGAGGGGGCTGGGGCCTGGATCCCCGGGTCTGAGGGAGGAGGGGGCTGGGGCCTGGATCCCTGGGTCTGAGGAAGGACGGGCCTGGGGTTTAAACCCCTGGGGCTGAGGGAGGGGGAAAGAGTAGGAGTGGGGCTTTGAACCCTTGGTCCGGGAGGAGTGGAGGGTTAGATGTGAGAGCAGGAACTCCTGGATCAGAGAGAGAGTCGGATCGATGGGGCACAGACCAGCTGGGAATCGCTGGGGTCTGCACTGTGATGTCCCCTCTGCCACAGGAGCCTCAGCGCCCTCCGGGGCTTCATGCAGACCTACTATGACGACCACCTGAGGGACCTGGGTCCTCGCACCAAGACCTGGCTCCTGGAATCCAAAGATAGCCTCTTGAACAAGACCTACAGCCTGTGCCCCAGGCTTCTCTGTGCGGACAAGAAGTAGGATTAAAATGTCCATAAAAGCCAGGTGTGGTTGTGGTGTGTGCCTGTAGTCCCAGCTCCTCAGGAGGCTTAGGCAGGAGGATGGCTTGAGCCCAGGCGCTCAAGACCAGCCTGGGCAACACAGCAAGATCTCTTGGGAGGAAAAAAGAAAAAATTAAGTTCATACTTCTCCAATAAATACGGTCTCACCTGTGCCCCTGTCTGGCTCCTTCCCCAGTGTGGCCAGTAATAACCCTACCCCACAGCCTCGCAGGAATTAATGAGTAGAAGAGATGACACCTGACGTGGGAGGGAGATTTGGAGGGTAGGGAAGGGTGTCAAGGGATAACACCCCGTTGTGGGCTTGCGGAGGGTGGGGAACTTGGAGGCGAGTCAGTTTCAGGAGAGTGAGGGCGGGTTTAGCAGATTTCCACAATGGCTGTCACTGAGAGCTTTGCCTTTGTCTCCCACAAGATCTGACTCCCAGCACCTCAAACCCCTCCACGGCCACCAGCCCAACCTCTGTCAGGGGTGAATTCTTAGTGTGAGGGTTCCCTGTTGCTCCAGTGAAGGTTCCTTGTGGCTTGACCTTGGGAGATGTCATTGCCCTTTCCGCCCCTTTCCGCCCCTTTCCACCCCCTCGGTGGTTCCGTTGGCCAGGACTTTGGCCTAGACCATGGATGGGGGTGGTGGCTATGGAGCGGAGGTGGGTCTCAACAGCTATAAAGCCTCTCTGTGCCCATTCAGAGCCGGTGAGGACAGCCTGCCAGTCTGGTAAGAGAGGGACCTGGGGTGTGGGGGCAGGGAGGGCGTCAGCAGGGAGGGGGTAAAGATCAATAAAGCAGGAATTGTAAGAGGCACAATGTCAGAAGCCTGTGTTGGAACCATGATTTGTGTGTGTGTGTGTGTGTGTGTGTGTGTGTGTGTGAGAGAGAGAGAGAGAGAGAGAGAGAGAGAGAGAGAGAGAGAGAGAGACTGAAGGAGTCTTGCTATGTTGCCTAGGCTAGACTCAAACTCCAGGGCTCAAGCAGTCCTTCTGCCTCAGCCTCCCCATTAGCTGAGACTACGGTGCACCACGACACCCTGCAAATCACAGAATTTAGAATCGTAGCCTATTTGAGCTTGTGCCTGGAGTTGGGGTAGCTGAGGTGGAGAAGATCCCTTGAGCCCAGAAGTTCGAGGCTGCAGTGAGCTGTGATCTCGCTACCGTGTTCCAGCCTGGGTGATGGAGAAACCCCGTTTCTAAAAGAGAAAAAGGGTGAGATTCAGTGGCTTACGTCTGTACTCCCAGCTACTCGGGAGGCTGAGGCAGAATAATTGCTTGAACGCAGGAGGTGGAGGTTGCATTGAGCCCAGATCGCACCACTACACTCCAGCCTGGGTGACAGAGCAAGACTGTCTCAAAAAAATAAAATAAAAAGCCGGGCTCGGTGGCTCAAGCCTGTAATCCCAGCACGTTGGGAGGCCGAGGCAGGTGGATCACGAGGTCAAGAGATCGAGACCATCCTGGTCAACATGGTGAAACCCCATCTCTACCAAAAATACAAAAAATTATCTGGGCATGGTGGCACGTGCCTGTAATCCAGCTACTCAGGAGGCTGAGGCAGGAGAATTGCCTAAACCCAGGAGGCGGAGGTTGCGGTGAGCCGAGATCGCGCCATTGCACTCCAGCCTGGGTAACAAGAGCGAAACTCCGCCTCAAAAAAAAAAATTTTTTTGGCCGGGCGCGGTGGCTCAAGCCTGTAATCCCAGCACTTTGGGAGGCCGAGGCGGGTGGATCACAAGGTTGAGAGATCGAGACCAACCTGGTCAACATGGTGAAACCCCGTCTTTACTAAAAATACAAAAAATTAGTTGGGCATGGTGGCGCGTGCCTGTCATCCCAGCTACCCAGGAGGCTGAGGCAGGAGAATTGCCTGAACCCAGGAGGCGGAGGTTGCGGTGAGCCGAGATCGCGCCATTGCACTCCAGCCTGGGTAACAAGAGCGAAACTCCGTCTCAAAAAAAAAAAAAAAAAAAAAAAAAAAAAATTTTTTTTCAAAAACTAGAAAGAGTTGTAGGCCGGGTACGGTGGCTCAAGCCTATAATCCGAACACTTTGGGAGGCCGAGGCGGACGGATCACTTGAGGTCAGGAGTTTGAGATCAGCCTAGCCAACGTGAAGAAACCCCGTCCCTACTAAAAATACAAACATTAGCCAGGCATGGTGGCTCATGCTTGTAATCCCAGCTATGCAGGAGGCTGAAGCAGGAGAATTGCTTGAAACCGGGAGATAGAGGTTGCGGTGAGCCAAAATCGCACCACTGCACTCCAGCCTGGGTGACAGGCTGGAAAAAAATTGTAGAGCATTTGCTTGTTCTCTGGGGCTCAGGACTCAACCTCTTTCTGCTGCAGCTTCCTCATCTCCTATGTGTGGATGACGATATTGCGCCATGCGGATGTTTGCCATCACCAAGAGTGGGTGGGTGAGGACTCAATGAGCAGGTGCAGGGAGATGAGGTCTGACGTAGGGCAGAGCCCAAAGGAAACGTGTCTGATCTAGTGTGAGTCCTTAATGGTGTGTGCAGAGCACCTCGCTGCACCCACTCAGCCTTACCAACAGGGAGGGCCTTTGCTGTGTTCCCTGCTGGGCCCAGAACTGTTGAGGTGCTCAAGAAAGGCTTCTAGGCTGGCCTCAGTGGCTCACACTTACACTCTCAGCACTTTGGGGAGGCTGAGATGGAGAATTGCTCGAGCCCAGGACTTCCAGACTAGCCTGGGCCCAGTCGGCCTGCCGTATGACACCCCCTCCATGTGGCAGGTCTCCTGACACCATGGGCACACGATTCCTCCTGGCTCTGTTTCTTGTCCTCCTGGTACTGGGATTCGGTGAGTGTGGGCTTCAGTGGAGGGAGGTTCGGGGAGTGAATGCCAAGCGTCTTCCCAACCCAGGCGCTTCCTACCCGTGCCTCTGCCCTCCCCTCTCCTTCCTACCTCCTTTTCCCCTGCTGTAGCCCCGAGTACTCCCCTGACACACTCTCCCCCTGCAGAGGTCCAGGGGGCCCCTCTGCCCCAGCAAGAAGAGTCGGCAGGCCCCGCCCTGCTTACCCAGATGCGGGAATCACTCTCCGGGTACTGGGACTCAGCAAAGGCTGCTGCCTCCAGCCTGTACCAGAAGACATACCTGCCCGCCGTAGACGAGAAACTCAGGTAGTACCCGTGCCTGCAGAACTGCGGTCTGGCACATACCACCTACTGCATCCAGGAGCCAGGGGGCCCGCCCCAGCCCTTCCTCCCTCAGACCCAGGCCCCTGCCCCTCCTCCCTCACACCCAGGGATCTAGGCCTCAGGCCCTCCTCCCTCAGACCCAGGGCCCCTTGCCCAGCCTCCCTCACACCCAGGCAGGGGTCCAGGCCCCCAGCCCCTCCTCCTCCTTTAGATCGGGGAGTTCAGGCCTCAGGCCCTCCTCCCTCAGACCCAGGGCCCCTTGCCACACCCAAGCAGGGGTCCAGGCCTCAATCCCTCCTCCCTCAGACCCAGGCCTCCCACCCCTCCTCCCTCACACCCAGGGGTCCAGGCCTCAGGCCCTCCTCCCTCAGACCCAGGCCTCCCGCCCCTCCTCCCTCAGACCCAGGGGTCCAGGCCTCAGGCCCTCCTCCCTCAGACCCAGGCCTCCCGCCCCTCCTCCCTCAGACCCAGGGGTCCAGGCCTCAGGCCCTCCTCCCTCAGACCCAGGGGTCCAGGCCTCAGGCCCTCCTCCCTCAGACCCAGGCCGCCCGCCCCTCCTCCCTCACACCCAGGGGTCCAGGCTTCAATCCCTCCTTCTCTAACCCTCTGTCCTTTCTCCCCAGGGACATGTACAGCAAAAGCACAGCCGCCGTGAGCACTTACGCGGGCATTTTCACGGACCAGGTTCTTTCTATGCTGAGGGGAGAGGAGTGACGGCCATATCCCCAGTCTGTGGGTAAGGGGAGAGTCCCCCGCTCTCCCGGTTCCTCATGTTCAGACTGAGCTCCCCCTTCCGAGTAGCTCTTGCATCGTGCTCCCACCTCTAGCCTGAATTCTTCTCAATAAAAAAAAACAATTCAAGTTCCTTTTCATGGATTTCACTGCTTTTCTGAGGACTCAGGGGCCAGGATGGAGGGGCTGACTCAGTCTAGCCAGCATTTAATGAGTACCTACTGTATGTATGGAGCCCTAACCTGGTCCATGGGAATAAAGGAGGGAATATTAACAATATATTTGTTTGTTTGTTTGTTTGTTTGTTTTGGTTTTTTTGTTTTTTTTTTTTGAGACGGAGTTTCGCTCTTGTTACCCAGGCTGGAGTGCAATGGCGCGATCTCGGCTCACTGCAACCTCCGCCTCCTGGGTTCAGGCAATTCTCCTGCCTCAGCCTCCTGAGTAGCTTGGATTACAGGCACATGCCACCATGCCCAGCTACTTTTTTGTATTTTTAGTAGAGACGGGGTTTCACCATGTTCACCAGGATGGTCTCGATCTCTTGACCTCGTGATCCACCCGCCTCGGCCTCCCAAAGTGCTGCGATTACAGGCTTGAGCCACCGCGCCCGGCCCTGGCAACTGGACTTTGTAACCGACCTTAGTCAACCTCATGACTGCAGACCCTACAACCCTCTCCCAGCTTGCAAAACCTCCCTGAACTGTAACTTCTGTAACTTCCCACTGCCTACCCCAAACCTATAAAACCAACTCCTACCCCACCACCCTCTGCTGACTCTCTTTTTGGGTTCAGCCTGCCCACACCTGGGTGAATAAATAGCCATGGTGCTCACACAAAGCCTGTTTGTGGGGGGAGGGTCTCTTCATTCAGAGCACACATTTAACAGTCTCCAGTTCCTGGGCTCAAGCAATCTGCCCATTTTGGCCTCCCAAAGTGCTGGGATCACAGGGGTGAACCACTGCACCAGGCCTGTGCTGACACTTTAAATGTGCCAATGCAGTTAGTGTATAACGATCCCGTGGCAGAGGGGAGAATGGTGCCCAAGTCACTGCTGCATTGGCTGGGCCCCAAGAAGACATACCTCTAGGCCTGGTGCAGTGGCCCACATCTGTAATCCCAGCACTTGGGAAGGCCGAGGTGAGCAGATCATCTGAGATCAGGAGTTCAAGACTAGCCTGGCCAACATGGTGAAACCCCATCTGTACAAAAATACAAAAAATTGCCAGGCATGATAGTGGGTGCCTGTAATCCCAGCTACTTCGGAGGCTGAGGTGGAAGAATCACTTGAACCCAGGAGGCAGAGGGTGCAGTGAGCTGAGATCATGCCATTGCACTCCAGCCTGGGTGACCCAGCAAGACTCTGTCCAAAAAAAAAAAAAAAAAAAAAAAAAAAGCCCTCTAGAGCCTGTGCTCATTGACAAACCTCATGCAATCATCCCACATGCATTACTGAGACCCTACCTAGCTCTGGGGACGTGGTGAGGAAAAGACAGTCCTGCCCTCCTCATGTGCCCCCGCAAAAATCTGTGGGTCCATGGCAAATGGTTTTCATGATTATAGCTTTGTAGTATGTTTTCTTTTTTTTTTTCTTTTTTTTTTTTTTTGGCAGAGTCTCCCTCTGTGGCCCAGTCTGGAGTGCGATGGCGCAATCTCAGCACACTGCAGCCTCTGCCTCCTGGGCTCAAGAGATTCTCCTGCCTCAACCTCCTGAGTAGTTAGGATTACAGGCATGTGCCACCATGCCGGGCTTATGTTTGTATTTTTATTTTATTTTATTTTATTATTCTTTTGTTTTGAGACAGTCTGCTCTGTTCCAGGCTGTAGCGCATTGGCGCCATCTCTGTTCACTGCAACCTCCGACTCCCAAGTTCAATTGATTCTCCTGTCTCAGCCTCCTGAGTAGCTGGGATTACAGGCAGGCACCACCATGCCCAGCTAATTTTTTGTGTTTTTAGTAGAAATGGCGTTTCACCATATTAGCCAGGCTGGTCTCAAACTCCGGATCTCAGGTGGTCTCCCCGCCTCAGCCTCCCAAAGTGCTGGGATTACAGGCATGAGCCACCAAGCCTGGCAACATTTTTGTATTTTTAGTAGAGATGGGGTTTCACCATATTGGCCAAGCTGATCTTGAACTCCTGAGCTCAAGTGATACACCCGCCTCGGCCTCCCAAACTGCTGGGATTACAGGCTTGAGCCACTGTGCCCAGCCTGTAATATGTTTTCTTAACTGTTTTCTCCTTATCAGTAATAGAAATAACATGACTATTACTCACAGCCAGGAGCTCTACTCCATCCTGAGGCCACAAATGGAGAGACCCTAGCCCTCAGGGAACAAAAAGACAAAGGGAGAAGTTAGTTTCAGACACCACTACAGGCAAGGAAGAGTAGGGAAGCTGGACACCAAAGCCTTGGGTGTGGCCAACCTTAGACAGAGCACTCCACCTTGGGCTACAGAGCGAGAGACTGTCTCAAAAAAAACAGTACAGGCTGGGTGTGGTGGATCATGCCTGCAATCCCAGAACTGTGGGAGGCCAAGGCGGGCAGATCACGAGGTCAAGAGATCCCGAGACCATCCTGACCAACACAGTGAAACCCATTTCTACTTAAAATACAAAAATTGCCGGGCGCGGTGGCTCATGCCTATAATCCCAGCACTTTGGGAGGCTGAGGCGGGTGGATCACGAGGTCAAGAGATCGAGACCATCCTGGTCAACATGGTGAAACCCCGTCTCTACTAAAAATACAAAAATTAGCTGGGCATGGTGGTGAGTGCCTGTAATCCCAGCTGCTCGGGAGACTGAGGCAGGAGAATTGCTTGAGCCCAGGAGGTCGAGGCTGCAGTGAGCTGAGATGGCACTACTGCCCTCCAGCCTGGGCAAGGGAGGAGACCCTGACTCAAACAAAAACAACAAAAAAAAGGGCTGGGGGTGGTGGCTCACACCTGTAATCGCAGCACTTCGGGAGACCAAGGTGGGTGGATTATTTGAGGTTAAGGAGTTTGAGACCAGGCTGGCCAACGTGGTGAAACCCCATCTCTACTAAAAATGGCCGGGCGTGGTGGCTCATGCCTGTAATCCCAGCACTTTGGGAGGCTGAGGTGGGCGGATCACCTAAAGTTCGGAGTTTGAGACCTGCCTGACCAACACGAAGACACCCTGTCTCTACTAAAATTACAAAAAAATTAGCTGGGTATGGTGGCACATGCTTGTAATCCCAGCTACCTGGGAGGCTGAGGCAGGAGAATGGCTTGAACCCGGGAGGCGGAGGTTGCAGTGAGCCGAGATCATGCCATTGTACTCCAGCCTGGGCAAAAAGAGCAAAACTCGGTCTCAATAAATAAATAAATAAAAATAAAAATACAAAAATTAGCCAAGTGTGGTGACACACGCCTGTAGTCCCGGTTACCTGGAGGCTGCTTGTACCCCGGAGGCAGAGATTGCAGTAAGCCGATAGCACCACTGCACTCCAGCCTGGGCAACAGAGCAAGACTCTGTCTCAAAAAACAAGAAAAAAGAAAATTGCAAGCAAAAAGCACAGGAGGCAGAAGGTACAAATAAGCAGAGGCTCTGTGGTCTGAAGGAGGCCAGTGCTGGGACCGAGAATGAAGAGGGCTGGGGGCCGAGATGCCTGTATCATGAAGGGGTCCAGGGTGGTCCTGCTTCCCAAGTCCCATGGGTGGGGCTATTGGTCTCTGGGGATCCACAGCTTGTATTTCTCCATTAACTTCCAGTCAGGGTTTCAACACTCTTGGGGCAGCTTTCCCAGGTCCGGAGGCTGGACAGCTGAGTCCAGTAGAAAACAGGCGCCCTGGGGAGGGACTGCGGGTAATGCCCCAGAGTACCCGGGGCCTGGGAAGAACTGAGGCTGCCAAGCGCAGGAGGTGGTGGGGAGGGGTAGATCCTGTAGGAACAATCCCCGCTCTGTGCGCTTGGTTCCCACGGACTGGAGCCAAACTAAAGCACTGCCCGGACCAGTTCTGCTTCCAACCAATCCTGGTGCTCGCCCCAGACTCCTCCTTCCTTTCTCAGAACCCCATTCCCCTCAGGGCCCCCAGAGTCCAGGCCCCTAGATTCTTCTTTCCCCAGAACTCAAGAGTCTGGGATCCCACAATCCCTTTTCCTCGGGTCCTAAAGTTTGGATCCCCAGCCCCCTTCTCCCTCAGAACCCGAAATCACAGCCCCGATCAGTATTTTGCGCCCCCTAGTGGAGAGAAGAGTGAGTCTGTCCTGTGACTTACAGTAGGGATGGCAGAAGTTTTTACTTATCTTTTTTTTTTTTTTTTTTTTTTTTAGACAGGCTGGAGTGCAGTAGTGTGATCACAGCTCACTGCCACCTCGAATTCCTGGGCACCGGCGTCCCTCCCACCTCAGCCTTAGAGTAGCTGGACCACAGGTGCATGCCACCACAGAGGTTGCAGTGAGCTAGTTTTAATTTTTTTTTTTTTTTTGAGACAGAATCTTACTCCGTCGCCCAGGCTGGAGTGCAGCGGCGCGATATTGGCTCACAGCAACCTCCACCTCCCAGGTTCAAGCGATTCTCATGGCTCAGCTTACTGAGTAGCTGGGATTACAGGAGCGCGCCACCACGCCCGGCTATTTTTTTTTTTTTTTTTTTTTTTTTTTTTTGAGGAGGAGTTTCGCTCTTGTTACCCAGGCTGGAGTGCAATGGCACGATCTCGGCTCACCGCAACCTCCGCCTCCTGGGTTCAGGCAATTCTCCTGCCTCAGCCTCCTGAGTAGCTGGGATTACAGGCACGTGCCACCATGCCCAGCTAATTTTTGTATTTTCAGTAGAGACAGGGTTTCACCATGTTGGCCAGGATGGTCTCGATCTCTTGACCTCGTGATCCACCCGCCTCGGCCTCCCAAAGTGCTGGGATTACAGGCTTGAGCCACCGCACCCGGCCTAATTTTTGTATTTTTAATAGAGACGGGGTTTAACCATGTTGGCCAGATGGTCTTGATCTCTTGACCTCGTGATCCACCCGCCTTGGCCTCCCTAAGTGCTGGGATTACAGGCTTGAGCCACTGCCCTCGGCTTTTTTTTTTTTTTTTTTTTTTTTTGAGGTGAAGTCTTACTCTGTGGCCCAGGCTAAAGTGCAATGGCACGATCTCGGCTCACTGTAACCTCCGCCTCTCGGGTTCAAGAGATTCTCCTGCCTCATCCTCTCGAATAGCTGGGATTACAGGCGCGGGCCACCACACCCGGCTAATTTTTGTATTTTTAGTAGAAACAAGGTTTCACCATGTTGGTCACGCTGGTCTCCAATTCCTG